ATAACATGCTCTGTGACGTGTTCCATCTACCCAGCGACCTGGGCCAGGCCCATGCCAGCCCCCATGTGCCTGCCGCAGCGAGCTCCCATGGCAGAAATCATAGCTCTTCCTGGCAGCCAATGAGAGACTCTCCCACTGCTATGGAATCAAGGCTCTCCCACTGCTACTGAATCAGCCCCTTCACCATCGCAGCCTTCAGCAGAGCAAGGCCTGTGTTACAGCAAACCAGACGCCAACACTTGGAACAATCTGTCTCATCTTCTGAGTCCCAAATGGAACCAAGCCCAGGAAGTCCTTAAACACATACACACACACACACACACACACACACACACAGAGGCTAGGGGGATAGCTCAGTGGTAGTGCACTTGGCTAGATGTGCAAGGTCCTGGGTTTGATCCCAAACTCTGCGTGCACACACACACACACACACACACACAAGAAAATCCCCCAAATAAAGAAAATCCCACAAATTGGATGGAATCCTCAGTATTTCAACCATATCAGAACATATATGTTCGAAAAAAATAACTAAATTGGAATCAAGTACTTTTTAGGACAAATACACATATCAAACAATGTGTACGTATGTATGGACCAGGCACCTTTGTTTTCATTTTCTAACTTGATCCGACCAAACTCCTGATAGAGAGGCTGGTTAGCTCCCCTTTATCAATGAGAAAACTGAAATTCAGGGAGGTAAGGAACTTTCCCAGGCTGCATAGGATATGAATGACAAATTCAAGATCAAACAGACAGATAGACACCCAGCAATGGGTATGGCATAAAGCCTGGCAGAGTCCCAGTCCCCAGGGCTGTATCTATCTACCCACCCTCACTCCATGCCAGGCCTCTGTGCCCTTTCTGTTTCGGAGAGAGCAAAGAAGCAGTGACTTCTTCCCCAGCTGAATGAAAACAAGGGACCAAGGATTCAGTTTGCTTCAGCACATATTTTTAAGCTCTGAATCAGTATTTTGGAAAAGGCAAAGGTTGCCCTATCTCCTGGTTCTCCAACTGTCCAAGAAAATCAGACTGGTTTGGGGCTGGGGTTGTAGCTCAGCAGTAGAGCACTCACCTCGCATGTGTGAGAGACCCTGGGTTCGATCCTCAGCAGCACATAAAAATAAATAAACAAAATAAAGATATTGTGTCCATGTATAACTAAAAAAATTATTAAAAGAAAATCAGACTGGTTTGATTTATAGTTCCTGCAAAAACTGGGCATGGTGGTGCATGTCTATAATCCTAGTTACTCAGGAGGCTGAGGCAGAAGGACTGAAAGGGCCAGCCTGAGCAACTTAGCGAGACCCTGTCCAAATAAAATAAAAATAAAAAGGGTTAGGGATGTAATTCAGTGGAATAGCACTTGCCTACCATGAGTGAGGCTCTGTGTTCAATCCCCAGTATTACAAAAATAAACAAAAAACCACCATCATTTGCATTTGGGGTTTAGCTGATTGGGGTAATTCTAGTCTGCACTAGATGGGAAGATCCTGGGTACAGGACCAAGAATGGATCATCATTGTTATCTATAGTGCTGAGCATGGTTCAGGTTGTTATAGCTGCTTAAAGATGGATAAATGGCGAATGGGTGGGTGGGTGGATGGATAGATGAATGGTGGGTGGGTATATGTGTGTACATATGTGTGTACATATGTATATATGTATGTATAGATGAGTGGGTAGAACGGTAGATGAATGAATAGTGGGTAAATGAATTTTAAAATGTTCTTCTGGCCCCCAAATCACAAAACTAAGTCCAAAACACAAACCTTGCATCAGTTATAACTCATATCCCTGCACTTCTCTGAAAGCATTTGCAGTTTCTTTCTTTCTGGTTTTTTTTTTTTTTGGTACTAGTTATTGAACCCAGGAGCACTCAACCACTAAACCACATCCCCAGCCCCCTTAAAAAATATATTTTATTTAGGAATAGGGTCTGGCTAAGTTGCTTAGGGCCTTGCTAAGTTGCTGAGGCTGGCTTTGAGCTTGTGCTCCCCTGCCTCAGTTTCCCAAGCTGCTGGGATTACTGCCACTACATTTGTAGTTTCTATTTATTTTGTCTCTCAAGAGCTTCCTCATTCATTCTGATCACATATTTATGTGTAACAAAAACCATATCCAAGGCACCAGACCTACGTCCATATCCCACACAGTTACTCCTCTGAGTCCCAAACCACAAACTAGGGTGCTTGCCCAAGAAGCCTACAAACACCCTCCCCTGGAGCAGCTGCTCTGGTCATCCTGGAAGTGGGGAAGTGATGACAATTATGGGCTGGCTCTGCGGGAACAGCTTTCACTGCAATGAAAGGAATTCTGCATCATTGGCAGAACCCAAGTAGCAGCCAAGGATGCCAACTGCTTTTCTAGAGGTTTCTCCCCAAGCCTGTCATCTGCAACCAAACCCAGCCAGCATCAAAGAGAGATGAGGAAAATCCCACAGGCCACATGAGGCCAGACTGAAGGTGCAAGGAGCACAGGTAGGGGGTGGTCAGCGCAGGAGCCTGGGGAGGGGGCTGTTGGAGTGGAACCCACACCTAGCTCTCTGGCTGATCAAGAATGAGACTGGAAGGAAGGATGATGTTAAACAAAGGCAGGAGGGAAGGCAAGTCTGGTCTCTGAGAAACAGCTCTGGGTCACAGATGCCAGATTTAGAACAGAAGAAAGGCTTTTGTAGGGGAGATACTAAAGCTAAGTCCATTGACAATGCTCTGCCCCCAAATTCCACATGTCTGACAGGCTGGGTGTGGGCCAGAGGAAACAACCAGACAACCCTGTGGCAGTGCCTCCTCCCATCACCCTGCAAACTGCTTCAGCCATTTCCCAGGACAGCACCAGCTGCGACCCCTGAGTCTCCTGGCCAGCTCGGCCAGACATGTTCCCTATTGCAATACTGGAAAAGAGGTGCTTGGAGGGAAGCAGCTATTCAGAAGCATTCACCTGGCTTCAAGTGTGGGCTGTATTTTACCAATAAGGCAGCTCTACACTTGGGAAAATTGAAGCAGCTTTAGGTAAGGGGGCAAAATAACCTTAAGGGATCTGGTCCTGGGAGCCCTGATCAAGTCAAATCTATAGAAAGTGGGTCATTGCGACAGAGCCTTGCCTTGGAGAAATGATAGCCATGGTTACACTGACAATGGCATGTCCCCTGTTTATAAAGTCCTCACTAAAGACTCGATGCATTCAATCTTCAAAATTAAATTTTTTGAAAGATGAAAAAACCAAGGATCAGAGCAGGTAGCAAGAGACAGAATCAAGATCGAAATCCAGGAGCTCACTCAGGACCTGCACTTTTAGAAGGCATTTAGGGAGATGGATGTGGTTTGGATCATGACCACAAGCTTATTAATATGTGACCTTGACCAAGAAATATACCTGCCCAGGCACTTACTTTTCTCATCTGTAAAATGGGAACATATTGGTATTAAACTGAATGTTTCCTGTGAAGGGCACACTGCTCTCCTGTGAACATCAGACCTGGCACTTGGCAACTCCATTCCTTCATATCTGGCTAACCAGCTAGGTTCCCTCCCCTAAGCAGCACCTACCCACCTCACAAGCACACCTCCAGCATACCCTACAGGATGCCTGGCCAGCTGACACTCCACATCAAATACCCAAAAAAATGCCCCTACATGGGGACTTCTATACCCAAAGTGGACCAGCCTGGTAGAGGAAGGAGTGTCTTTGCCCCACGGTCCATCAACCCTCCTGCCACCTACCTGCCAGGAGAGCTGTGGAACCAGACACAACTCATCATCCAAGTTTCCTAAACAAGCCCTGTCATCGCCCCTCCCGGATGTCCAAAGGAACATTAATTTCTGGTTGTTCAGGGACCCAGATCAAGGGGTCTTGGCTTCTTAACCTCCACCTCTCTTTTTTTGGTACCAGGGATTGAACCCAGGGATGCCCACTGAGCCACATCCCCAGCCCTTTTTATTTTTTATTTTGAGACAGGGTCTCACTAAGTTGCTTAGGGCCTGGCTAAGTTGCTGAGGCTGGCTTTGAACTCGTGAGCCTCCTATCTCAGCCTCCAAAGCTGCTGGGATTACAGGTGTGTGCCACTGAGCCCGACTTAACTTCCATTTCTGCACACTGCTTTCAGATGTATTGTCTTAGAAGACCTATTCCTCAATCTGGTGGTCCTGCCTCACCAGCTCTGATAGACCCAGTTGGAGGACTTGACTCCAGCCAGCCATGGGGACATACATCTCTATATTTGGCTTTTGGGATCCCTGTTTCACTCTTTCCAATTCTCCTTAGACCTGTCCAATCCATCCTTCATCTCACCACTTCCTAATCATCCAACTATGATGCACTCTCCTTTGTGAAGCCCTGCAAGCACTGACTTATTTTTCCAGAGCATGCATACACAGATACCCTGGATGCTGGAATTATTAACTTCTGTCCTCTCCCTGTCATTAAAACGTAAGCTCCCACAGGGGCACTGACTTTTCTCTCTTTTGGTTGTTGCAACAACTCTGGTATCTAGGCACAAGGCAAGTAATCAAGAATTGTTGCATGAACACTTGAGTTAAGGCCACACTTACCTCTGAGTTACTGTCATCTATCTTATAGGGAAGAGGCTGAGAAAGAGACAGAGAGATTTGCCCCTGGCCCTCAGTTAACAAGGACAGAGCTGGAACCTGAACCCAGGCTTCCTGCCTCCAAGGCACAGGCTCCTCCTGCAGCGCTCCTGTGTCTGTCACAGCACTCAGCGCCCTGCTGAGTGTAATAATCACCTTTTGCAACCCCAGAGGAGGGGAAGTGCACTTAGTCCCTACCCCTTTGGCGACAGGCCTCCCAATGCAGCCTGTGCAGCCAAACCTAAGCCTAAGAAAGAAGCTAGACTCACATTCCTTACGGGGGAGCAGAGCCAAGACGCTCCCTCATAGGTGCATCCCTGGGAGGCAGAGCTTGGCCAGGTCATGGGTGGCTGTGCCTAAGCTCCACGAGGCCCACCCCAGGATCAGAGGCCCCAAGAGGTGCCCGGGGCTTACCATGGACTCACTGATGAGCAGCAACAGGAGGGCCTCCTCGATGTTATCCTTGGGGCAGTAGAGGCTGAAAGATAAACAGCAGTCCTGGCTCCAGCCCAGCCCTCACCAATGGTCTGGCCCACCATGCAACCTTCTGCCCTGAGTGAGCACCAGCCTGGTAAGGTGACCCTCTCCTGCATAATTCACAGGAACCAGATACCACGTGCAGCTCTTTAACACGCCCCAGTTATGGATCTGAAAGACCACAGGAGACCTGGCCCTTCCAGCCCCCGGCACCACCTGAAGCAGCTGGGCAAGGAAGAAGCTCTTCCTATTGGCCCCAGACCCCATCCTATATTGGCACAAATAAGAAAGGCAATGTGTCAAAAGCAAGAGTATCAGGAAGGCAGATCATGTATTTGGCTTCTGGGCCTTCTAGATTCTCCCTGCATCCACCCATGTCTCTAAAGAGCCTGCCTGGCCCTGTGCAGGGGAGAGGCTGGGAGGGAGCAGGGCAGAGTGAGGAGCTGCCAGCACAAACAGACCCTGTGCACAGAGGGAGAGTGGTGTGGTCCAGCAGGGGAGTGGAACTCACTTGTCCCCTTCATAGAGGTGAGGTTTCCGCAGGGTCTGTGTGACGAAGGAATTCTCCTCCTTGCTCATGAACTCAGGCAGAGGGTGGGACAGGGGGCTCCAGTAGCACTCCTCACTCAGGGAGTGCAGCAAGACCCCCGCCAGGTGCTTGGCCGCCATCTGGCAGAAAGGAAGGAACTCAGACCTGGGCACATGGGCTCTCCCCTGGCTCACCTCGATGGCCCTCCGCCCACCATCCAGCCAATCTGCCCGACTTGCAGTGCACTGCCCCTCCACTCCTCAGGGGCCCCCTGGCTTGGGTCAGTCCCTCCAGCACTGAGGCTGTCTCCACCCCTTCCTTTGGCTTTGGGTAGCTATCCTGCATCTTTTCTCTCCTCTCCTAGACTAGGTGTTCGTTTTCTCCTTCTCCTGACCCCAGGGAGCCCAGCGCAGCTCTGAGCACCCTGGAAGCCCTTACAAGAGGTGGAGAAGGACAGGAGGCCACAAGTTCAGGCAGCCTCTCTACTAGAAGCCAGGCTGAGATTCTGACAGGTGATCAAAAATTTTAGTGGAGCAGCTGTGGTTATGACTTTAGAGGAATTAAGGCCAAAGAAGGCAGGCCTGAGTCAGGGCAAGAAAGCAGAGTCAAGGACATTTGTTAGGAAACAAATTCCTAAGAATTACTAATATGGCCTTGCTAGGACAGTTTTGCGGGGGGGGTGGCATGGCACTGGATTTTAACTCTCATTCAGTGCTCGGGCTCTGGTGAGAAGAATAGGAAGGTGCTTCTCGGGCTCAGTGGGAAGAGGATGAGATTGATTAATAATGTCTGCCATGAGCAGGGGCATGTAGCACCTGCACATGACACACTGCCATCCCTGGTTCAGGGGCTGCCTGCTAGCACTTCTGTTGTCTTCCACTGAAACTGACCCCTGAAAAAAACAGCCAGAGCCAGCAGCCACGTTACCACTTTGAAGTTCTGCGTTGCTTTGGTCTCCACAGTCCGCAGAACCTCCCGGAGTTCCCTCATGCCCTTCACGATGTTCCTGGAGAGAGGGAGACAGAAGCAGGGGCATTACCAGCCTTGGTCTCTCAGATATTCTCATCAAGCCTATAGATCCAGGGAGGAGCCTGCCTGCTTGAGTTCCCTTTGAGTACCTCCAGTTACTGGCATGAAAGGTCAGAGTTGGAACTCTAGGAGGCCTTGGACATCAACAAGCAAAGAGGAAAGAGGTTCCTTCTCTCCCAAAGCCCCCAGCAACTCAGGGTTCTAGTTCACCACCAAAAGGATACCAAGGTTGAGTACTGCAAACAAGATGTCACCTTGGCCCAAGCACCTTTGGATTGTCAGACTCGAGTCGCTTCAATTCTGCACCTCTACCTGCTGTATCTTGTCCACGCTAGAATCTGTCTTCACTTCTGCATCTCCATCACCAGGCCCAGGCTGGCCCACCTCACCTTGGGCCTGATAGCCACGCCAGCCAGGGCACTCCCTCTGGTCAGCCCTCTGTGCCCTGACATGGTTTTTAGAGTTATAACAGTGTGACCCACAGTGAGAAGGACACCTCACATAGCAGTCCTGTGTTCCCAAGGCTTTCCTCGCTTGACACTGAAGTTCCTCGGCACCATACCTATCTCCGCTATGCGCAGTCGACTGTCTTCTATTTTACCCCCACCCCCACTCTGCTTTTTAAACTGTTGGCTGCAGTCCACACCTGTCCACCTTGCAAACCACCAATGTGTTGTGTCCCGCATTTTGAAAACACCTCCCAGCACCCCTTGGAGTATCTGGATGGTACACAGAGGCCATCTGCCTCCTCCTCTGGCCAGCCTCCCCTACAGTCCCCAGTCTAGGCCTTCAACACAGCCTCCTGGGACTGTCAGGGCACCCCTCCCATCTTCTCGCCTCAGCTCCCACCACTCAGGCAAGCTCTTTCTGAACATGGCAGTTCTCAACGTCAAGTATTGGCAAGTGTCCTCCACTGCCTTCCACAGCCTTTCCTCCCCATGAGCCTTCAGAAATAATTCCAGAATCACTTCCTCCTACCAAGGCCTCCCAGGTCGCTCCCCAAGCCTGCCTCGCCTGGCTGTTAATTCCTCTTCTGAAGTAACTACAGAACCCTGAGGTCATTGCAGGTCCGACCCTGGCACACTGTGGCTCCTGAGGGTGGCGTTCGGGTCCCGTGAGTTCCTGAAGTCCAGCTCTGTCAGAACTCCTGCTCGCAGCCTGTGCTCAGGTGGGAGAAGCATGACCCTGCTCATCTGCTCAGAGGGTTCCCTGATCACACCACAAAGGGAAAGCAGGGGCTGCCAGTCCAGCAAACACAGGGAAGATCACAGAGCCAAAGCTGGTCACAGTTGGGGTGAGCCCCTCAACTCTCTCAGGTTCCTGAGGGGCTTGGGGTCTAGGAACTATAGAAGTGTAAGTTTGAAGATCCAAGCCCTTTGCCTTCAGGGAAGCTCTGGCTTCAGACAAGAAAAAAATATGCAAATGACTAACATGATAAGTGTCTCTATTCTCAGCCTTATTTTTAGGACTGAGAATGGATACGATGATCCCTGGGGCAGGGGCAGGGTCATGATCTTACCCAAACTGCCCTGTACTCTGAAGAACCAGGAGAGGTGAGCAGGAAAGGGGACATTAACCTTAGAAACAGCTCACGACCACATGCTGCTATAGACAGCTGTGTGGCCCAGGGAGCGGGTCGGCGTCTAGAGGCTTCAGTCTCCTTGTCTAGAAAACAAGGACTTCTGCTGATTGCATGCCTCCACAGTCATAATTTTCCCATTATCTGTTCATCACTCGTATCATTTATGTAATACTTTATACTTTTTTTCTTTTTACTTCAGTATATATATTTCACCTTAACCAAAAATACCTGAAATCATGACTTTGTTGTACTGGTTTTTATTTATTTATTTTAAATTTCACCAATAGATATTACAATACAGAAATTACTGGGGATCGAACCCAGGGCCTCATGCATTCTAAGCAAGGGCTCTACCACTAACCCTACAGAGTTGTTTTTTAAAAGTTAGTGTCTATCAGTTAAAATCATCAGAGGTACCTGTCCCACACTCTGAGAAAATTTACATAAGAGGTTCTCAAAGTATGGTCCCTGGACTAACAACACTAGTAATGTCCCAGGAACTTGTTGGAAAAGCAACTTGGGGTCTATCAAGTCTCCAGAGGGTTCTGATGGGACACTCAAGCTTGAGAACCACTGGCTTAGATGATTCCCAGTGTCCTCTAGTTCTCCTTGTCTAAGAAGCCAGTTTTCAGAAGGGACAATCTGATGGGAAACCGGAACTTTGCAGCCAGATGCTACATCTACACTCTTAGAGACATGAGGTGGCTTCTCTGAGTCCTAGATCCTGTCTGTAGGAGGATTCCCCATCTCATAGAAAAATGTCAGGAAGATGATGAATGTAAAGCCCCAGCGCCCCCAAGCATGTGGGAGGGGCTCACTAAATATTATTTTCCTTTCTCCTAATTTGTATTTTAAATATTATATTATGGATGTTTTAACTTTTATTATTTTTCCTGGAAGCTCAGGAGCTAATGACTGCCATGGGGGTGGGGAAGTGCCTGGTTCCTGAGGGAATCCCCCAGCTGTGTGTCCATCTGTCTCCTACTAGTCCTGGCCCCATAGGGGACATAAGAGGATTCCCTGGTAGATGAACCAAGAGCAGGGATAGGCCTGGGGGCCCCCACAAGCCTGAAGAGGACAAGTTGGCAGTAGAGGTCCTTCAACCCCATGGAGGCCATCAGTCCCAGAAGCCAGAGATGGACAGTAGGCCACAGGCAGGCCTAGTCAGCTGTAGGGACAGGGTGGCACTAGCCACCACAAGGGGAAAGAATAAAGACATAGATTGCAGAAGCTTCCAGCCAAGAGGGAAAACGGCTGGTCATGGGAACCCAGTCCACAGGATAGCAACGCCGGGCAACTGGGTCAAACAGCCACGGGCTGAGGTGGACTGTCCCTGAGGCTGCCCAGGGCCCTGTGGTCCAGAAGACGCCGGCAGTTCCCTGGACCTCGGGTGATTTTCCACTCTGTGGGCTACTTGCCAGCCTCCTCCTTGGCAGCCTGACCCAGGCTGCTACTGGAGGCTGGAGCCAAGGGTGACTACAGCCTCTTCTTCCCACTCCACTGCAAGGACCAGCCTCTCTCTGCCACTACCAGGAGATCCCAGCCTTAGTCCTTACACCAGCCTCACCCCTGTACCAGCAGACTGGCACCACCTGGGGGCTGAGGGAGGGGACGCTTACTCCCCCTCAAAATGCACAAGATCCTGTTTCCCAAAAAGTTGTGTCTCATTATTTTTAAACTTACAAGGGACTCTGGCATCTAAATAAGCTCCCAGGAATTCTACAGCAAAGCAAACCATCCCCCTGGGGCATGTTTTGAGAAAATCCCAGTTTTTGTTGAATAGCCTTAAAGAGAAAACACAAACACACACACACACACACACACACACACAGGTTCCAGTGGCCAGGGCCGCATGGGGGAGTTTCGAGATCCCAGCCCACACTGCCCTGTTCTGCAACACTGGGAATGCGTCCTGCCTCAGCTTACCCTTCTGAGAAACAAGAAACCAGAAGGGGCTTCTCAAGCACCCCAGATGGCCCCCAGCCGGAGCAATCCCAGCCCAGGCCTAAAGCTGCCTGTGCCAGGTGGAGCCGGGGCTTTTCCGAGCATTTCTGGCTGCCTCGTGAGAGGGCAGCTTGAAAGATCTCTTTGTTCTTGTCTCTCCCGCTGACCTTTCTGAGCCAAGCTGCCCACTTTTAACAATATCCAAACAGGGCCTCAAACAGATCCTGGCCCAGAAACAGGCTGCGTGGGGAGAAGCCAGGAAGCCGTTTATTCCAACTAAAGTAAAGCCCAACTGCTCAGAGCAGAGAGAGAGAGAGAGAGAGAGAGAGAGAGAGAGAGAGAGGTGTATGCGGTGATGGATCAAGGACAACAGTTCAGGGAGACTTTCAGGTGGGACTGCAAGGGGGTGGCCCACTCCTCCAGTCCTGTGGCCAGCAGCAGGTGTTGGTGTGCATTTTCCAAAGCCCTTCCCCTTGTTCAGTCTTTGTGGTTTCTGATGGAGTGAGAGAGGCCAGCAGGCCCCATTATCCCAGCACAAGTGCAAAAGGTTTTGGTATAAAGAAGGCCTCCAAGAAATTGTGGCTGAATAAACAAATCCCCTCTCCCAGTGGGGAAAGTGAAGCCTGGACGGTGCCTCCTTCACAGGTCACCACCTTTGGCAATGGCAGTGACAGGCTTACAGCAGCCACCAAGGGCTCAGATTTTCCTTCTTTTCAACCTGGAAACCCCTGAAACGTGTTTCCACCTGGAACACTTCTACTCTCCTTTCCTGGCCATTGAACTCCAGAACTCCTGGGTCTTAACTTAATTTACAAAGTCTTTAAAAAGTGCCCACTGCATACCCAGTAGCTGTTCATCAGCCCCATTGGCAAGAGGCAGTCAGTAAATACTTGTGGAATAAATTAAGAGACTGAACGAGTGGATGAATATCTCGTGTGTGGCCATGCATGCCAGCAGCCCACAGCCTTGTTAAGTTGGCCATGCTCCTGATTTACCTGGAGCTCAGCAAAGGGTTTTGCACACAGTGAGTGCCTGATGAAGTTTTGCTGAAGGGGATTGCTTTGATTTGAAACAGAGGAGAAATGACATGGAATTAATCACTGAAAGGAATCTAAACAGATGCTGGTGTACATGACCCCAACCAGAAGCCCCTACCAGAAGTTAGCATTTCAGGACTGGATCATGTGTAAGAGGTTTTTGGTCAAAGACCCAGAAGAGTGAGCATAGCCAGTTGGCAGTTCCCAAAAGCTGGAGGATTGAACTTCGAGACAAAGTTAGGTGAAGTTCAGTGGTTAGCAAGTTGTACATTTCTGCCAGAGATCTAAATCACTTTTTTCAAAAACTAAAATTCTTCAGCTCTAGCCCTAGAATAAGGCTGTGCTCAGGATGAGCCCAGGACGGAGGATGACCAGGACTGAGGAGGCCCAGGCAATGGGGTCTTCCTTCCCAGT